TTAATAAAATAGCTTATATTTTCTTCGATACCAGCACTACTTCAACCTCTGTGAGGTGTTTCAACATCTTATTCATTATTTCCATCTTCTTCTGTATATTTGTGACCTTTTTGTAATGATTTATATTCTTTGAAGTCTCTTCGGGCGTCGTTGAGGGAGAGTCGGTAACCAAGTAGTACTTAATTTTGTACCGTGTGTGTACTTTTTGTTCTTTAACGATCCTTTTCTTGCAGATAGTCCTAGTTATCATTCTTTGATTGTCTTCTGGCAAGTCAAAATTGATTCTTCTGCACGTATGGTTAGTTGAACTTTTCGGTGTCGAAGGAACGTCTGCGAATATTCTTAAGTTTGGTTCAGGTGATTTTGGATAACATCTGTAATCAGTCGGTGTCCTGGGGGACATATTGACTTGGTGAAAGGTTAGGATTACGCATTACGGTTAGGTGCGTTCCGATATTCATCATAAAGAGCAGGAGGACGAGTTGAAGCGGTTGGCCAACAAGACGCAGGAGGAGATGGAGAAAAAGGATCTGATGAAGAAGTCGGAGGATGAGGAGAGGCGGTTTAAAACAAAGATTGGCCGCTCCATATATCATACAGTGTTGAGTTTAAAGTCGACTGGGAGGATGGGAGATTAATTTTGGTGATGCTTCTTACAGGCGGACTTTGTTTCTTGAGTTTCTCCTCCTTGTTCTTCTTCGCCAATTCTGCTTCGAATTCCCAGATCAGCTCAGGGCAATCCAAGTTACTTTCAGGTTCCCAGGTATTCTCGCTGACACCATAACCTCTCCACTTCAGAAAGTATTGGACAATGTCGTTCTGAATTCTCTTTCCAACGATTTTCTCAACTGCATACACATCGGCTAGAAAACATCAGAGATGAAACACGCATACATATGGCTTACCGCAATGCTAAAGTTAAGTCAGTATAATTAAGGAGAACTTTTATACGCTGATGATCCCAGGCAACGGCGTCGGTCCCCGGATTTATCAGGGAAGCTACAAACAATCCTGCTGGAGTGATGTCTCCGCCGGAGAGCGATGAAGGAGAGGAGCGTCGCAAAAAGGTAATATAATGGAGCATATTGACTTGGTGAAAGGTTAGGATTACGCATTCTGCAGAGGTGCTTACCGATATTCATCATAAAGAGCAGGAGGACGAGTTGAAGCGGTTGGCCAACAAGACGAAGGAGGAGATGGAAAAGAAGGATCTGATGAAGAAGTCGGAGGATGAGAAGATGTAGTTTAAAATGAAATTGGCCGCTCCATATATAAGATTGTATTAAATTTCAAGTCGACGCGTATTGATAGAATTGAGTTCTTCTCAACTGGGAGAATGGGAGATTAATTTTGGTGATGCTTCTTACCGGCGAACTTCCGTTTCTTAAGTTTATCCTCCATGTGCTTCTTTGTGCACTCTGTTTCAAATTCCCTGACCAGTTCCGGGCATTTCAGGTTGCATTCAGGTTCCCAGGTGTTCTCGCTGTCCCTATAACCGCTCCACTTCAAGAAGTACTCGACGACTCCGTTTTGAATTCTCTTTTTGACGATTTTATCAACTGTATACTTTTCGGCTTCTTTAGCCTGCTTGGATTTGTTGGTGCTCATCCTCGGCTTGGATTTGTTTGTCCTCATCGTCGGCTTGGATATGTTGGTGCTCATCCTCCGCTTGGATTTGTTTGTGCTCATCGTCGGCTTGGATTTGTTGGTGCTCATCCTCCGCTTGGATTTTTTTTGTGTTCATCGTCGGCTTTGATATGTTGGTAATGATTTAACTACAAAAAAACAAAAGCGATAGCGTCAACATATGTCTGCTTCGTTTGCCGCTTTTCCCTTCTTTTCTCACTATACTTATCCGCAGGACGAATTCGACTCCCACATACACCGCAAAAATATTTTTTGCATACAAACAAATATTTGTTTGTTACGTAATTATCTCATATATAAAACAAAGTTGTTTAAAGTCATCGTCCGCCTCTGCAATGATCGTCCATTGAAAATCGTCAATTTTGTATTGATATATAGGTAAAAATGCATTCGTAATTACAGCACGGTAATAGATAAATACTTTATGAAATTTCCATTTGCTCGGATTCATCAAGCATTATATAAACATTTAATTGAANCTAAGAATTGGTTTATAATAAATGCTCTGAAAAATTTAGAAAATAATATGTATGTCAAATAAGTATTGCGTGTATATACAATATATTATTAAAACGTATAATAATAAAATAGTCGATTTATTTTATCTTTAATTTCATGAAAATATGGTATTAAATTGATACTATTTTACTTATAATCTCAACTTTCGTCATGGTGGATCTAACTTATAGCGATTTACAAATTAAAAGTTTCATTTATTCCATTTCACAGTTTGTACACCCAAAAATAGATTGCACACGAAAATTGCATGCACATGTCCATATATACGTGTCAAACCAAACTGCTGATATAAAATGTACATAAATAAATGTATGTATGTACGATAGCTATAATTACATATTTAATTAGCAATGCGTGCACGCATTTGTTTTTGTTGTGTTCGCTTTGCTAGTTAAATTATGTTATAAAAGCAATTACTGAAATTACAAAACGGATTAGGTTTCGTATGCAAATTAACTAAATTGTTACAGTATTTACGGTGATACAATTGGAGAGTTTATGTATTGTAATACGAATATGATTTAAACCTTTAACATAAATTCATGTGTCTCAGAGGTCCAAAATCTATTTTAGATTTTTCAATTAATTACACGGTAAAAATAATAACTAGTAAAGTTTTAAATCTGTAAATTTGTAAAGAAGTAATAGTCATTCTTACGGTAAGCTCCTAGTAAAAAGTCTATTAATTAGGATTGTTTGTACCATTTCACCTAAATTTTATCCTAATATATCCTAAACTACATTCGCGACAAAATTAAAATTTTAAAATATTTTCACGGTCCATTATTTTAAAATTGTGATTTAACTACTAGGTATAATAATGACAAAATGAATCCGAAAACAAACGTTATAATAATATTTGATGTCTGCTGTTGTCGTTTACAGGAGAGGCAGGCCCATCAACAATGCCAAGTACTACATGGGTACCCTCAAGTCGTTAATCTCTCGGGACTCGGCCGAAGCTTGGCAGAGAAGATGGAGCAACACTGAGAAGAAGGTCGAGATACCTCACCAATTTATCACGGGACATTGCAAATTTGGGCACTACCGGAAGCGGTTTTAGCAAAGAGAGTAATCGGATTGTACCTGTCGCGAATAAAAGGACACAATTCAACATTGCTTTTACCGCTGCCTTTTTCACATCACCAGGAGAAGTAGCGCAGAGGCGAATGATTCTACAAGGCCTGCCATGGCCACGTAGCAAAGAAGATGTGATCGGAATCACAGAGGAAGGTGCCGAATGGTGGTGTGCGTTTGGCCAGGAAGCCAAATGCCTCACGCTAGTAAAAAAATTATCGCCATTTTGTAATAATCATAACTCACTATATAATACTGTTCGTCCACTTTAGATAACAAAAAAATTGCAGTTAGAAAACGAAAGCTTTATTCTTTTTATATAATAAATCAAATAATTTTAATTAAAATTTACATTTTTATTTTTTTTATTCAATTTTTTATTTATTTTATTATTATTTTTG